GGGATTTTCTCTTAACCAAGTAGTTCAGAATCACACAGTTGTTCCATTCACATTTTATTGGGAAAATTTAGTCACATGGCTATACTTCACTGCAAGGGAAGCTGGGAAACGTGGTCTCTAATGAAGCAGCCATATAGCCAGGAAGAAGGGGAGAATGGATTTGGGACAGCCAGTTGTCTCTACCACTTGGCACTGGGACTTCATTGGCCCACTGTGGTTTGTACTGGCCACCAGAACTGTGGAGAGAGGTCAGATCAGTTCGGGTTAGTGATTCAGATGCCTAGAACCTTATATTTTTCAAATTGTGGGTATTGACCCATTACTGAGTCATGAAATCAACTCAGTGAGCTGTGATCAAGTGGCTTTTTTTTTTTTTAATGGAAGACTATGGAATGGAGATGAGCAGAATTTAAAAAATTAGAATAGAAAATATGAGTACACTACACATAGTAAAAGTAAGTACTGTTTTATGAATACTTCTGTTTGTGTACTTAGTTGTGATATAAAATACATTTGTTACTTTCAGTCACAGTTAAAATGTTTGAAAAACAGTGCTCTGATTCATAATCTTTCCCATTTATACTTTAAAAATTTTCCTTCCTTTCCAGGTTAATGTTTCTTTTTAAATTTCACTGGATGATCTTGAGGACTAAGAAGAAATCTTCTGATCTGTACAGTCTCTTGAGTCTAGCCTCAAGTTTGTGGGCAGATAAGGAACAGCTCGCCCAGTTAGAAAGTATGCTTAGAGGTTGCAGAGAAATGAGGAGAGATGTCTGGAGGGAAAGCGGGTGGGTTTGTTTCTGGTCTGGCCCCCAGGAATCCCCCTGGCAATGTAGGCTATAAATGTGGTGAGGCCAGGATTACTAGTTACGGGTCCTTAGTGCTGTACTGGAGGGTCGTTATGAGTCAGAACCAATGACGACATCTAACAAAAACAGTACTGTACAGGGCAAATAGCACACAGTGTGTGCACTGCAAAGGACTGCATGATGCAAGCAGGGGGTGCTCAGGTGGCACTTGCTCCTGTGCTGACTCAAAGCACAGCCATGTGAAGCCAGAAGGCAGCCTTCAAAGAGCACTGAGAACCCATACGCAATGATAGTTGGGAAGCTGAGCTCTGGCTGTAGCTGACAGTAGAGGAGATGGTGTGATAGGACAGCGGGTTCCTAGTACCCTGAGAAATGGAAATCTTACAATAATTTGAAGACAAAAAAAGAAAAGCCCAATGCAGATGGCAGCACATAGTGACAGTGCTCAGAAAAGTTTCTGAAATGGGGTAAGAGTGGATGAAGGAAGGAGAACAGCAGGGCTAGATTACAGCTGGAGGGAATGGGAATTAAGATGTTTTCAGAATTAAGGTAGTAAGAGAAGAATATTGCTTTACATTTAGATGAAGAAAGAAGCTGGCCAGTAAAATCAAGATCCTGGAAAATATTGTTGCTGGGAGGATCAGCTAGGGCACTTACAATGGTTTTGTAATCCCATCTCATTATTAACACAGGCATATTCCAGTGGGCTGCTCTGTCTCATAAAGCAACCTGACTGACAGGGTGTTCAGATACTTTATTGTTATGGACAAGAGGCAATATTTTGAATGACAATGTATTCTATATTGGATGAGGACTGGGCTATTGATTGATTTTAGGGAGGCCACTTCAACAGGCTCGGGTAATGCTCTAGTTGTCCATCTATCAAAATGGTACCCAGAGATGAAGAGATTAGCATCTTCTTCCAATTTCCCTTGGATGTCCATTATCCCACTTGACCTTATGCATAATGGAAAAGAGATCACTTTCCAGCATATTGCATCATATCATTACAAAGGCTGAACAGAGCAATTAAAAAACTAAATGCAGTTTTAAGACCATCTGGGTCTTGTTACAATCTTCATAATCATTAGATTTAGTGCAAGAGATGTATTAATTAGAAGCATGAGAAGCAGAAGGCAAAAAAAAAAAGTATTGTATATGGGAGCTTGAGGTTAGCACCATATGCATTTTAGCTTAGTCTCAGAAATACCAGTAATTTGGAAAAAAAAAAAAAAAAAGCAACGAAATAGAAACCAAAAAACCACTTCCCTGCAGTTTTTTAAAATAATCTTTTTTTTTTAAAAAAATTGTTTTTCCTTAACTAGCTTCCTCTTACCTCCAGCCAATTTGGTGAGCCCTTCTCTATCAAAGAAAGACAGCCACTTTAATAAAAAGGAGAAAACATTGTAGAATGAGATTTTACACTCACAGAGAAAATAGTACATGAGAGATGGTGAAAAGGGAGATATCCTCCAATTTCATGTGTAGAATCATTGCCCCTTCTATGAGTAGGAAATTAGAGCAACATGGAACATTTGAGCTGGAAGGAACCTTACAGGTCTGAAGCAGGTTCAAAGAGATTGTTTTTTCAAGGTCTCCTTAAAAATGTTTTTGCTTTGTAAGTTTCTCTCTCATATTGCATAGTTGACCCTGAGGCCTTTAGATTTCTTATAGGAGATACTTTCAGAACTTTCAGAATCAACCCTAGGATTGTGGATCCTGTGATATGAGGGCAATCCTCACGTACAGAATCTCATTTTCCTCTATAAATACCTGTCCTTGTGACCAAGTAGACCTAGAAAGTTCTTTGCCCTTAAAAACTTTTTAAAAAGTATTTAAGTTAAGCCCTTCTCTTACTGATGCATATATAACCATTTACCTTTAGGCTTGTTAAGGGAGTACAACAGACAGCACTTGCCAGTCATATCTCTCAAACTGGCTGCTGGTCACGGACTTGCTCCCTGTTTGTCGGATGGAAACACTTGTAGAAAGAAGCAATTTGGTAATGCTCAATGACACTGCAGCATTTCTCCACAGCAGCTTTAAACTTCTTTCTTTATATGCTTGATCTTCTTGGGAGTGTTGTAAGAGTTCTTATTTCTTTTCTTGACCTCACCTTGACATCTCAGCAGAAACTGCAGACTAGATTCTTTCTGAATATTGGAATCAGATAAGGCAGTAGCTTCAAACTTTTTTGACTGTTACCAGAGTGAGAAATGCAATTTTATACTATGATTTAGTACATACATCTTTCTCTCTTTATGTATGTCTATATTTCCGAAGCAAAAGTTTCGTCAAACAATACCTACCCTTACTATGTGTGATGCATTCTCATGTTTACTATTCTATTCTAGTTCATTAAAAGAAAGAAAAAAAAGCTCCTAATGGCCCAGCCTGCAGGTTGGGAAATGCTGTGAGGAGTTGCAGTCAGTATCAGTTGCTTAACAGTTCACATTAGTCTGCGGATTAGGAAAAATTCCTTTCTTATTTTAGATATTGGCCTTGACATTTTCTGTAGTGTCAGAGGTTTAGCCTTGAGGGTTATAGTGTTCTCTCTGAAAATCATCAAGAAAGCCTGCATCTAGACATGGGCTCCACTGAAATGAAAACCACATCATGATACCCAGGTCCAGTTAACATCCCTACCTCTTGCACATTCCTGAAGTTTCTGAGGGCCTCTGGGATGCCTTATGCAATCAATGCATGTTCACTATACTGAAAATCATTTATTTGGTCTCTTTTAGGTGTCCTATAGAGCTAAACAAACTGAAATCTTGAAGATAGTGGCTCTGATGGTGGCTGTCTGGGTGCTAGCCTTCTTAGTGCATGGCCCAATAATTCTAGTTTCTCAGTCTTGGAAGAAAGACTGGAAAGAATGTGAACCTGGATTTTTTTTAGTATGGTACATCATCGCCATCACGTCATTCTTTGAATTCCTGGTCCCAGTCATCTCGGTGGCTTATTTCAACATGTATATGTACTGGAGCCTATGGAAGCGGGGTAGTCTCGGTAGACGGCAAAGCCATCCTGGTCTCAATTCTCCTGACTCTTCCAATGACTGTGGACACTCATTCAAATGTCGACCGTTTTCAAGGACATCTCTTCCTGAATTGAAGGAAACAGAGGTGCCCCTTCGTTCAGAGAAACAGAGAAGAAAGAGCAGTTTCTTGCATTCTTTCAGAACCCAAGTAAATACTTGTACAATTGCTTCCAAAATGTGTTCCCTCTCCCATTCACATTCTGTAACTCACCAGAGGGAACATCTTGAACTGCTGAGAGCCAAGAAATTAGCCAAGTCACTGGCCATTCTCGTAGGTGTTTTTGCCATTTGCTGGACTCCATATTCTGTGTCTGCAATTGTTCTTTCAGACAAACATCCTAAACCATATTGGTATGAAATTGCATTTTGGCTTCAGTGGTTAAATTCCTTTGTTAATCCTTTTTTGTATCCATTGTGTCATAAACGTTTTCAGAAGGCATTCTTGAAAATATTTTGTATGAAAAAGAAAACCATACTATCACAGAGCTGATCACTATCCTCTTAAAGATAATTTTCTCACTTACATACATTTCAGTCTTCACTGCACCTAAACAAATTTGTCTTTCACCTTGTCGTTTCCACTCTGCCAAAAAAGTCCGTAACACTGTAGTGCCAACAAACTTAATAAAAAATTTAACCTGGAAGTCAGTGGAAAATTATTCTGATGAACGATAGCAGTATAATTATAAATTTCCAAGAATGTTTTTGTATACGAATAGCCACAAAAGTACCATATTTTTCTTAGTCATCGCCTCTTCCTTGTTCGTTAGATCTTGATATAACATTGACTATGACAGTTAAGAGTTTCTGTTTTCTTTTTATGTTCAGTGTTTGCTACAGTCTTAAGCAAGTTCCCCTTTTTATTGTATAGTAATGAAAACTCATTGAGTTTTAAAATCATTTCCCAAAGTATACGATAGAGAAAAGAGTTATATTGCCTTCTTTGTTGGAAGTGGTGAACACTGTTATGATCAGTTGTCAAGAGAGTTGGGGTTTGAGTTAACAAGAACAGGAAGTGGGAGTGGATCCAGGTGAAAGAAGGGAGACCATGTGCATTTTCAGACTTATATTTTTGATCCCAGAAAGGAATGGTGTGTGGTATGGTGGAGGAAAGAGCAGGTGACCACAGCTCTCAAAGAAGGTTCTCAGTGAAGTTATCTTGAAGGCCCTAACAATCATAGGATGAAAGGGTGAGGGACATGGAAGGGTTATGCACTGGTTGAAAGACTGACTTGCCTTATTTCTTTCTCTCCTCTTCTTCCAACTTTCACACATATCAGCTAAAAAATGTCTTTGTGAGAAAATATGGAAGAAAAAGAAAAGGCTAAGAGATGGAGAAAGGATTATTATGATCAAACTAGATGTATCTAGTATAATAACATTCACTGAACTAGTCAATGTCAATAATTGTTAATAAAATATTGTCATATTTATTTGATTGGACTCATGTCCGATGTCTGACATAGCAGTGCTCAGAATTATTCCATTTTTATATAGTGTAGGCTATACCTCACTGATGATTCACGTTGTATTACTCTGATGACTTCTTTTTTTCATTTTTAATTGATCTTTTTTTCAATGTTTTCTGCCTGTAGTTTTGATAAAATTTTCATTTTGTTCTTATAATCAGTTTAATCTCGCCTATAATGTTTTATCGGTATTTCTTCTGTGACTTCTCAGAGTTCTTATACAGGTTAGTTATTTTTATATTTTGCAGACTTTTTAAACTTTTGACTAATTTCAAACACTGAAATACACAAATCTTTTAAGTAGATAAATGCTTAGAAATGCATATAATTTTTATATGTACTTATGCATTGCACTAAGTTCAAAATAGGAGATACATGTATAAACATTCAATAGTAATTTGAAAAATAAAATAAGTAAACCTTCATAAATGCACTTAATTTTTATAAAGTTGCTACTTGTCAGCTGTTGGTTTTAACATTTTAAAATTAAATACTCATTTAATATGGAGTGACCCTTTGCAAACTTTTCCTACTTGAATCTTGGAGGAAGCATGCCTAAATAGTCATATGTATTTTCTAAATTATATATAAAATATGATATCTATTGTATGTCATTCAATCTAAGATGCTGTCAATCTAAGGCATACTTTATTTACCACTAAAAAGAAAAAATGCTGCAAATTGTGAAACAATACTGTAAAAAATCATACTGATAGTGTTATGGATCGAACTGTGTCTCCCCAAAAATATGTGTTGGAGTCCTGACCCTAACACTTTAGGATGTAAGCCTATTTGGAAATAGGGTTTTGTTGTTGTTGTTGTTGTGTTGATGAGGTGATACCAGTGTAGGCTGTGCCCCGAACTTACTTCTTATCTAGATAAACAGCAGCATAGACACACAGACAAGCAAGCAAATTTGGGGTGGGGGGAGGGGTAGTAATAGATGCCATGTGAGGATTACCAAGGAACCCAGGAACACTGAGGATACAGACAATGAAGGACAAGGGTTTTCCCCCAGAGCCAACAGAGAGAGAGCCTTCCCCTAGAGCTGGTGCCCTGAATTCATGCTTCTAGCCTCTTGAAAATAAATTTCTCTCTTTTAAAGCCACCCATTTGTGGTATTTCTGTTACAGCATCACTAGGAAAATAAGACAGATAGTAAGGCCCTTTCTGACTTCAGAGTTGGTGAAGAGTGAACAGTGTGTATCTCGGAAGTGATGAAATATATGCCTGATAAATGAACAGAACAGGGCTAATCCTCTATGAAAAAAGAGATGGAAAGATAAATACTTTGATAGTATTTATTTGGGCTGGCATGCTGAGTGATTTGGCTACTTATTTCAAAGGTGCCTTACGAACCTTGGGAATAAGATTTATAGTCCCTGAGCACAGGAACTTTACTTTTGGGTTTTTTGAAGTACTTAGTACAATGCTAGGCTCATAGGTGCTCAGTAAATTCTTATTGAAAAGACGTACACTAGGCATGTTCCTGGAAAAAGGAGTGTAAATTCTAGTTTTTTAATGCAAGTCTTTTAAATTTGCACTGGAGGAACTTTAAAATGTTTTTCTTTATAATAAGAGTACTATGTATTTACTCTAAAAAGATAAGACAATAGTAAAACACATCCTATACCCAAGAAGCAGTCATAATTATTAGTATGGTATAGATCTTTCAAAACATAGTGTAGTCTCCTTTTCCATATTCATATGTTTGTATATATAAACGTCTAATGCTATCCTTAGGTAAATCCTTTTATAAAATGAAGTTTTCTATTCTAATTTATATAATAGCCATCCTCTCTCACACAAAAAGAACTGGCTTATAAAATCATATTTTAAAATACTTATTAGCTCATCTTAAATGTGGACCAACTCCATTGGTATAATTGACAAAACATTCCTAAGAATACTGGTTCCTAAGTGTTGGTTTCAGTTGGCCTATGTAGAAATGGACTCAATACAGAAGAGTGAAGAAAGACTTAGGGATATAAATGCCAATTACAAATAATATTTTAGGTCAGGTTTCTTTATGAGCCATGAGGTCTTTTGATAAAAGTAACTGAACAGTCATAATAATAATGATTTTACAGAATTTTTTTGTGACTTTTTGGCAACTCTTTTCCTGCAGCAAGGGTCTTGACACTTGAAGAAGCTATATCCCCACATTATGATTTCAGGAAAATAGAAATTCAGGCATACAAAGTAAACTTTGATTCTAATCATTGCCATTAGTAAGGGTTGAGTCAACAAAACAGAAACTATGTTAATTATTTTAAACAGAAGGAATTTAATACAGGTAATTGGTTAATACAGGAAATTGGAAGGTTGAAAGAGCAAGAGGTGGACATTGCTACACCCCAGAGACTGATAATTTAACAAAGTAACTATAGTCAAGCATCATTTAACTTCCCTGATACGTTCTTTGAAACAGGACGTTATGTGATTCGGACATTGTGCAAACACCGTATTATATACTTAGCAAAGCTATATGAGATACCTTTTGCTTCACTTCCAAATTGATACTTCCCATTTGCCTCTTCCTGCTGCTATCACTAACACTGGTTTTGCTGCATTTGGGAGCTGTCATGGATTGAATTGTGTCCCTCAAAAATATGTGTCAACTTGGTTAGGCCATGAATCCCAGTATTGTGTGGTTGTCCTCCATTTTGTGATTGATGTAATTTTTCTTTGTGTTGTAAATCCTAATCTCTGACTGTGGTTAATAAGGCAAGATTAGATTATGCTAAAGAGGATTAGGGTGGGATGTAACACTCTTACTCAGGTCACATCCCTGATCCAATGTAAAGGGAGTTTCCCTGGGATGTGTCCTGCATTACCTTCTATCTTACAAGAGATAAAGGAAAGGGAATCAAGCAGAGAGTTGGGGACCTCATACCACCAAGAAAGCAGCACTGAGAGCAGAGCGCATCCTTTGGACCCGAGGTTCCTGCACAGAGAAGCTCCTAGACCGCAGGAAGATTGATGACAAGGACCTTCCTCCAGAGATGACAGAGAGAGAAAGGCTTCCCCTGGAGCTGGCCCCCTGAATTTGGACTTCTTGCATACAGGACTGTGAAAGAATAAATGTCTGTTTGTTAAAGCCATCCACGTGTAGTATTTCTCTTATAGCAGCGATAGATAACTAAGACAGGAGCCATGATGCACTTCACAAGAATATTTTTGAAAGAAAATTAAACAGGGTGATAATGCTACAACACTCCAGAGACACTCGATACATGAGATTGGAAGCTGCTGCCTACGAGTCAAAGCATACACTGCTATACAGTAAGTTTTTTATTTGTAAGTACAGAAAGTTCACATTAAAATAATGATAGAAAGTACAGTACAATACATACATAAGCCAGTAACATAGATGTTTATTATGACTGTCAAGACATATGTGTTACAGGTTATATGTGTACTGTACATGTAACAATGGTGTGGCAGAGGCACCTGACTTCCTCTAACTTCACAAGGGGGAAGGAGAATCAAGATCAACAGCCCAAAGGTAATTGCTGTGAGGCAGAAATCAGACATACCTCCTCTCCAACATTTTTACCAATTCTGACACCAACTATCCCTCTCATGGCACTCTCTACTTCTCTGCTGGGTTAGCTAATTTGTTGCAATGGCCACACAGGATTTACAGATAATACAATTACGGGGTTTATTAGGGAAGTAACAAGTTACAATTCAGGTTCAGAAACACTCAGGATACAGTTCCTCAATCAGAACAGCCTCTTCTCAGCCATATCTGCAAGCACACCTCTCTCTGGCCCCTCGGCCTCTTGACCACGCCACCTGGCCTCTGCCCTGCTCAGGAAAGTGTTACAAAACTCTTTTAGCTTGCTGATAAGTGCCCAGAGGCACCCCACTCCGCCAGCAAGCTTCATGCCCGAAGGCGCTCAGCTTTCTTGCTCCGTGCATTGGGAAGCCCCACAAGCAGCCGTCTCAGGCAGGTCTCCTGATTCTTGTCCTGATTCTTGCCATCTCACACCCCCATCTCTCAATGTCTTCTATGTTATAGCTCCTCTCTCTGTCTCCTGGATCTAGGAAGTTCTCAGCACAGACATCCTGGGTCCAAAGGATGCATTTCACTCCTGGGTCTTCTTTCTTGGTGGTGTTGAAATCCTCTCTTCCTGCCTCTGGGATGATTCGTTTTAAGCCTAGTGGGATGGCAAAACTGACCAATCCCCTCATTAGGGTTGCATACACCTTGTTTACATGGTCAGAAGAACAGGGCATCAAGATTGGAGGAAGACATAAATAAACTGTGTTATGCAGATGACACAACCTTGCTTGCTGAAAGTGAAGACTACTCGAAGCACTTACTGATGAAGATCAAAGACCACAGCCTTTGGTATGGATTACACCTCAACATAAAGAAAACAAAAGTGCTAACAACTGGACCAATAAGCAACATCATGATAAACAGAGAAAAGATTGAAGTTGTCAAGGATTTCATTTTACTTGGATCCACAATCAACATCCATGGAAGTAGCAGTCAAGAAGTCAAACAATGCATTGCACTGGGAAAATCTGCTGCAAAAGACCTCTTTAAAGTGTTAAAAAGCAAAGATGTCACTTTAAGGACTAAGGTGCCCCTAACCCAAGCCATGGGGTTTTCAATCGCCTTATATACTTTCAAAAGCTGAGCAATGAACAAGGAAGACCAAAGAAAAACTGATGCCTTTGAGTTAAAGCGTTGGCGAAGAATATTGAATACACCATGGACTGCCAGAAGAATAAACAAATCTGTCTTGGAAGAAGTGCGCCAGAATGCTCCTTAGAAGCAAGGATGGAGCGACTTCGTCTCACATTCTTTGGACATGTTAACAGGAGAAATCAGTCCCTGGAGAAGGACATCATGCTTGGTAAAGTAGAGGGTCAGTAAAAAAGAGGAAGACTCTCAACTAGATGGATTGACACAGTGGCTGCAACAATGGGCTCAATGATCATGAGGATGGTGCAGGACAGGACAGTGTTTCGTTCTGTTGTACATAGGGTCGCTATGAATCAGAACTGACAGCACCTAACAACAACCCCTACAAGGGTGCCATGTACTTTATTTACATTATTAGTAAGCTATCCAATCCCCTTGGTGGGCCACAAACACCTCATTTGCATAGCCCCACCCAATCATTTTGTGGGAGTTACAAAGACTATTGCTAGAAGGGCCATATTAAGTAATTCGCTGCACCACAGTACCATTATACGCCTGGCAGCACAATTGATTTGTATACAAGAGACATGAGATGCATGTGTTGCATGCAGGAAGCTGTTGTGTTTGTTAATATGTCTGGTTACGTCTGCTACGTCCCATTCTTGGATTGGGATTTCTGAACTTTATTATAACCTTATGGGACTACAGACATATGTACAGTCTGACATTGCCCAAATGGATATTATGTGGCTGTGACTGTACTGTCTTTAGGGATAGAGAGAACAAAAAGGAAGAAGTGGTGTAATCAGAATCTAGGATCTTGGAAACATCCCTGAGGAGCTGATGCTTGGACCTCTGATTCATGATGCCCTGTAGTTAGTGCTTGGACAGCTAAGGGAGTGGGACCAGCTGGTGCTCAGCTACCAACGGTGGTGGTGGGTGAGGGGACAGAGCAGATGTGGCTGCTGCTGGTACCTCTGAGGGATTGCTGTGTGCTGCTGTCGGAGGGATGCTAACTCAAGCTAGAAGCTCTAAGTGAGTTACTTCTCAGCACCTCCTGCCTTCCAGACTTGCGAATGCCTTCCATTGGTGGAACCTCACTGAAAGCCAGTTAGCAAAGAGTATGGGAAATATATGACCCCTAGTCCCAGCCTCACAGTACAGTGTATAAGAAGGTAGGCTTGGAGATGATAAGAAACAGATAAATAACTGGCAAAAGCATCATACGTTTAAGCATAATAAAGTAGAACTTGTGCATTCAGGGATTTACCTTCACAATTTCAACTGTACATAAGCAGCTTGCTGGTTCATAGCATATTGCAATTTGTCATTTTCTTAAGGCATGAATTGAAATCATGTACCACTAGGCTGGTATGCTGGGTGAGTTGGCTACTAAATCCAGCATCCTCATTCTAATAAAGTTTTCTTGGTCTCTATTTTTGTCACATCAACTCCAAAGCTTGTGAAGTGTTCATTTTTGTAGTGGTGATGGAACTGAGGGAAAAATGAAGAAATCCAAGAAAGCACGAAACTCAGAAGTCTGTCAGCTCTGTAATATGAGTTCATCATAAACTTCATAATGGAGGTTCCGTGCTGGTGGTTCATGGATGCATCTGATCTATAAGATGAGTTGAATTTGCTGCCATTATTTACATATTAGGGAGGCCTGTGGCACAAATGTTAAGTGCTTGGCTGCTAACCAAAAGTTGGCAGTTAAATCCCACAGAGCAGCCTTGTGGAAGAAAGACCTGGTGATCTGCTTCTGAAAAGACTACAGCCTGGAAAACCCTATGGGGCCGTTCCACTCTGCACATGGGGTCACTATGCGTCAAAATTGACTCAGCAGCACCTAACAACTACAATTTACACATTGGAAATTTAACATTAAAATTGGGATTTTCACCTTTTTAAAAAAAATTGGAAGGTCCAGCAATATTGGGACCGCATTCCCTCAAGAAGACAATTTGCTGAACCTGCAAAGTGGCTGCCTCCTTTAGTCAAAGGGCACACTCTTCAGTCCTCCAGAGTTCCACTTTGCCTTGCTTAGTCATTTTCATTTAATTATCTGTTCTGTGCAGGCATATGAATTGCAACCAGGGCTTTGAGCCAGTTCATTCCAGTTGAACTCCTGCTGAGAATTTGCATTTTCTCCCCAGATACACTGAATCAGAATCTACAGTTTAACAAGATCCCCAGGTAATTCTTATGTAGAATAAATTTTGAGAACCACTGCTCTGCTAGTTGTTCTCAGAATTGGTCCCTAAGGAGCAACATTAGCATTGCCTGGGAGCTTGTTAGAAATGCAAATTCTCAGTAGAGGTTCAAACTGGAACAAACTGGTTCAAAGCCCTGACTGCCCCCCTGCTCTAATATATGTGAAAAGAAAAAGTGACCCACTAAATTTTTTTGTAATTACCCCAGAAGGTACAAACATTGTCTTTTACGGTAGATACATTAAGTTGTGTAGATCTGTCTGGCCTCCTTTGGTTATAAGTGACAGAAATGCAATTTGAACCAGCCTGGGCAGAAATGAGCTTACTGGCTCCCATAACCAAAGTTCATGAAGGCAATGAGGGGTGCTGACCCCAGGGATGACTGAAACCAGAGATACTGTGACATCTTTATTTTTGTAGACTGGCTTCTCCACAAAGCTGGGATGATGGATGCTCACATCCTTCTTAATAACAGAGAAAAAGGGCCTCGACTAGTAACTGTGAGAATAAAAAATCCTAGGAAAGATCGTTTGAATGCCCAACCAGTATCTTGTGTCTATCTCTGGACCAGTTCCTGTGGGGCAGGTTGTATGCTAGTACTGCCTAGCTCTGGCAGTTTCTCCCTCACACTCATCTCTGTGGCTAGGGAGGTAGGATCAGCCCTGTTCAAACCATGTGACTTGAAGACGGAGGAACAGTCCCCTCAAATAA